TATAAAAATAACATATGATTATATTTAGAAGATCATGACCAACTCCCTTTCTTGTTTAAAGGGACAGAGAAAAAGGTTCTTACATTGTATGAACAAAAAAGGTCAAGCAACAAGAAAATATTGCAGCAGGCCCTAATAGTTTATTTGTGAAAAGTTTAACTAATGTTTTCATATTTTAAAAAATCCATATTTGATTTCAGATCTAAAGAGCAAATTTTGATATTAGATTTGTGCTAATAAAACTTCAGTGGTGCCTGCCACTTGGTGTACCGTCCAGCATCAAATGTTTTGTTTTGTTTCAGAGTTAGATCCAAAAATGGATCAGCTTTGGACTTTGAACCTAATTCACAGTCAGGAACCAACCTATGTTATAAATGAACAATAAAAAAGCTAATTTTTTTATGCTGAAAATTTGCTATTAATTCTCTACTATGGCAGCAATTTGAATGAAGAGTTTTGCAATATTTTGCTGTGACATTAGTCCTTAAATTCTAGAAAAGTTCTTTGCTAACAGTTGTTCTTATGTGATTTGTGTGCAATTGTCTGAAATTTCAGAACTGAGTCCGTCATCATGCTCAGGTTTTGGACCCGATCAGTAGCTTAGCTGTGAAAACTGAAGCTGTTTGCTGACTCTTGGTCCCTCCTTCTTCAGGCAAAAATTAAATACTTCAGTTTTGTTTTTATATAACCTAAAAAAAAAAGCTGTCATACCTATACAATGATTTGTCCTAACACTTGGGTTCAAAGTTACCTGGTGACAATGAAATATGTATCATCTGCATAACTATGGTAACTAAAAGTGCCAATAAAAATAATTCATCCTCTTGGATATTTTTCTTATTTATTGCTTTTACAAATCAAACATGATCAACACACTTTGGCTCTGAACATCCCCGGGAGTTCAGTTAAATACATCATCAAGGAATTCTAAATTATATGGATGGCACATTTGTAAATCTGCCTAGATCAGGCCATCCTCACAAACAGAGAGCGTATGCAAGAAGGGGACTAGTGAGGAAAGCCACCAGTACATCTATGAGTATGTTGAAGGAGTTACAAGCCCCATCAGCTGAGATGGAAGAAACTACATACAGCAGTTGTTGCCTGAGTTTTTACCAGTCAAAGCTTCATAGGAGAGTGGCAGCAAAGAAGCCACAGTTGGAAAAAAAAACTCATATTAAGGCTCGACTAGAGTTTGGCATCAAACAAGACGCTAAGTTTGGTGGTCACCAAACACTGCACATGAACACACTCACTGTGAAACACGGTGGTGACAGCAGCAAACCCTGGAAGGCTTTTTAAGGTAGAAGATAAAATGAATTCAGCAAAAATATAGGGAAACCCCAAAGGACAATTTGTTTTCAAATGCAAGAGCTTCAGAAAACATTTATTTTCCAGCAAGACAACAATCTGGAGCATTCAGCTAAAGCTACACTGAAAAATGCAACATTTTGTTGATCTTGATTGTAACATGACAAGAGTTGTTTTTTTTTTTGTTTTTAGCAAAGCTCAAACTGCATAATTTGTGTATTAGAAAGTGTTGCTTTTGATGTCTGCTTATCACAACAGCAAATACAGAAACATGACCTTTTCAGAATCTCTTGATTATGCAATTAATTCAGCAAGTGTAACAGCAGTATATCAATTTCTGATTTGAAGTTGTTTTGAAAAAATTGCAACAGTCACACTTAGAATAATAAAAACATGAACCCCTATCAACTATGCATAATATATTACAGAACTGAGGCAAAAATATTAAACAATACAAGAGTTCTATTGTTATTAAATCATTCCTACACATGAATCACAACATATTCAAATACATTTAAACTTACAATCTGTTTTACTAACTCATGCCTTATTGGGTTTTAATAGCTTATTAAAGTTGATTTTACGTAATCACATATCCCAGGTTAGCATATGAGGTGTCCTCTAACTGATAGGTCAGTGGTTAAATCTCCTAATCATCCATGAGACATGGTGCAAAAAACTATAACCCTACTTATTTTGGATACATTCACTCAAGTGAAAAGAAAGACAAATAAAGCTAATGCTACATTTTATATACAAATTTTAATGCACAAACATATTCCAAAGTGCTCAGGGGATCACTCTAATAGGGATGTGAGAAGTATACGATCCAAACCCCAAATTATTCAAACCCAGATGTAGATTTAAAGGAAAGGCTGAGAAAACTGAGAAGTTTGCTTTCTGACAGGAAGTGATGGGAGTGGGGGGAATAAAAAAAAGGAAAAATGACTGTCAATCATTACCTGTCGGTCTTGGTTATCAAGCAGAGATCAGCGATTTTCACTAAATTAGCACTTAAATTCATGCAAGAATGAGAATACCAACCAGATATATCATACATGGTCATATTCTGTGCAGTATGATTCATTGTAACTAGACAGAGAGTCACTGTCTTCTTATATTTGAGGTTTGTCAAAAGGGGTCTCGGATTCAAAATTTCTGCCTCAGGTCAGCAGCATTGTAACTCCTAGGATGTTGACAAGACCTCTGATACCTTGAAAATAAAAAAGAGCATCATTTTTAAATATAATCCCTCCCTAAGTTTCAGCAGCGCAAAAATACAATCAATTTCACATAAATATAACAACAAAGTGAATACTTTTTGGATAAAAAGGTACTCTCTAAATCTCCACAAACCGAAGACGCACAGTCATTTCTCAAAATGTAATACAGCAATAAGAAAATGGTATTAATTCAAAAAAAAAAAAAAAAAACATTCTAATTAGTTTTATACACCTTTTCCAATATTCAATGGAAAAATCTGTCTGTATAACAATCAAACTCTTTTTAAAATTCACTGTTTCCACTGGTATTTTAAACTAATTCTCTTAGGTTTTGAAGTTCTTCTTGCTGCCAGCCTAATTTTTCCACTCCCTCAAAGGAGTCTCAATCAGATTCAAGTTAGTTCTCTACTATGCATTCAAAAACAAAAACAAAACATGACTTGTAGTTGTTGGTAAACTGAAAATATCACTTTAAAACTAAATCTACTAGGGGTATGAATAATTTTGACTTTCAATTAAACCTATTTAAATAATGATAGAAACAAAAACGACAGCATCCAAAATAAACATGCTGCTGCATAAAAATGATTCCTTTCAGGTGAGACTTAATCAGATTCAGTTTTACTTCTTATTTACTCTTTAGTATCTAGACCTGTCTTTATCAGGAATAAGTATCTTTCAGTCAGCTACTGTACAGTGCCTTGCAAAAGTTTTGAACTTTAGCACCTTTTGTTGTGCTACATCAAAACTTAATTGTATTTGTTTAAAGTTTTATGTGACAAACCAAACTCAATTAGATCATAATTGAACAGAAAGTGATATTCAGTTCCAGTATTCAATACTTTTCAAATAAAACTTTGAAAAGCATGGCATGTAAATCATGCAAATGTTTTCAGCCCCTTTAGCTATCAAGCAATGGTGGACACAGAAAACTTGTGATGGAATTATTCTGGACTGATGAGACCACAAATGAACTTTTCAGCCAACATGCAAAGTGCAATATGTGGCTGAAACGCAACACTGCACAGCAACCAAAGCACACCAGAGTGAAACATGGTGGGTGTAGCATCATGCTGTGGGGTTGCCTGAGTCAAAATATGAGAGGATGAATGGAGTTAAATACAATATTTTTATACAATAAAAATACATAAATAAATGGCCAAATGTTTCCCTTCCAGCAGGACAACAATATACATCCAGAGGAGTCAATAGAACAGTTTAGATTAAGGTATGTGTTTTAAAGACCAGTCAAAGTCCAATCTAAACCCAAATAAGGACCTGTGGCAAGACTTAGAAACTGATTTTCACAGCTTTGTTCCACTCAATGTGACTACAGTTTGCTAAAAAGAATTAGAAAGCACATAAACGTGCCCATACTCCAAATACCTTGCAGCTATAACTGCAGCAATACGGGGTTCTACAAAGTATTGGCTATTGGGGTTGAATACAAATGCATGCTACAAATTTTCAGATTTTTAAAAAGTTTTATTTCCCTTTTGAAATTGTGCCACCCATTTTATTAATCTGACACATAAACTAAATTATGTCATAAAATGCATTGAGATTTGTAGTTGAAACATGATAAAATGTGATAAAAGTTCAAGGGGTATGAATACTTTTTCAAAGCATGCTCAAAATGTCAAACAAAATCTATTTTTCAATGAGAAAAAATAATTTTGAGAATGGTTATCCTCTGAATATATTAATCACTATTTGATGGGTGCCGTTATATATTTGAATTAATTTAAATACATGGTTATATGTAAAATATTGCAAAAGGCAAAATATATGTATCCTGATAGTAAAATATGTTGTATTTACTTGAGAGAGGGCAAGAAACTGGTGTAAAGTTAAGCAGCTGTGCCAAGTGTCCCTATATGATGGTCTATAAATCAGGAACATTGGGGTATTCAGGCACATATACAGAAATATTATTATGTTTTCATTTTAGAGCAAAAATCATGACATTGTTCCTTATCTAGTGGATGCCTGTCACGTAGAGGACGACTAACTACTTAATAGTAACCTTTAGATTAGAAACCGCAATGCTCCTTATACGCATTTTTAATAGCGTAATTTGCAAATAAGCTCAGGTGCATTGAATGGAATGCACCGTGGAGTCGTTAGCTTGAGAAGAGTAAAGCCCCTCCAACACGGCCGCGCAACATTTAGCAGTCGCCCCGTTCATCGTTTATAAGCGCTCCGCGTTCTCTCATTCATTTAGCTCGCCTACTGTACACTGTGCTCAACGTAGTGAATTCAATACTATGGCAAACACACTACACTACTACCAGCTTCAGCAGCATGCTCGGAACTCTAATGTTTTTGTATCCACCCGCCTCACAAAACTTCGGTGACGTTTCACAAAAGAGGGCCAATGGGACCTCGTCTTCTATTAGGACAATGAAAAGCCTCTGACCAATCCGAGGAGCCGCAAAGCGGGCGCTGGCCAATGGCGTGGAAGCGCCGTCGAGAGTAATGTTGAGCGAGCTGAAGACTGAAGACACTGCGTATCGCCTGTGTTCTCTCATAGACAGCCATTGCAGAGCATTGAGATCCAGCGATAGTCAGTTGGTAAGTATTGTACACACGAATATTTTAAGTGTTTCAAATGATGAAGATGGAGATAACAATCCTAAACATCTTACTTATGTGTTTGCCTTGATCAAACATGAAACGATCTTGTGTTTTTTAAATATATATATTTTGCAGAAAAGCTTTAAAAATAACAGCAAAATAGCCGGCTTTAATCGGGTAACATCACATTACTCTGCTTGAGAGTGGAGGGCAGACGCTCTGTTTAAAAAAAGAAGAAATAAAAATTAACCTTGGTTAAATTCGACGAATATTGCGTATTTTGGTAAATACGAATAATTTTGTATATTACAGTCATCCTGTTTTAAAGAAATGAAGTCGAAACAAGTTGTAGTTACCGTGTAAAAATTCAAGAATGTCTAGCGGACAACACGATAGGCGACAATGGTAGAAGACTCACCGTTAGCTAGCCATTGCAGTGCATTGCGAAGCTGAACGCCTGTCATGTGAAGACTGAGAAGAGTACAGATCCGAAATAAAGCCATAAAAAATCATAAAAGCACAAGAAAAATGAAGACCATCTCAAAATATGTTCGGATGATTATTTGTTTGTAAAACGTCACCCGAGAAGATAGTGAAAAAATTACCTCACGATCTGCGCTTTACTGTAATGGCTGACTGTATTCGCATAGGAAACCAGGCAGCGAGGCAAATGGGAAGCCAGGGACAGAGGCGCAGTTCGCTTCAACTTTTTCTGGCCGGCTTTTCTCGAGAAATAAACCGACAACTATTAAATCTAACCGCGGCAAAATAAAGTTCAGTCTTTCGTGAATCGAATGACGCCTCCGGGGTATTTTTCCGACGTTTGGAAAGGGTTGAAATCGGGGCTTGAAACGAAGTAGTCGCCGCGGTCGCTCTGCCCTCTATTGCATGCAGTGCAATGGCTGTGCGCTGACACAAAGAGAAGGAGCCATATTCTCCATGTTAGTGGATGAAGACGAGCGGCCATTAGGAGCTCATAGAAACCCAGTCAGTAGCACAGCCCGCTCATAGACACAGCACAGACCCAATGTATTACTATACAAGGCGGCTAGTGCAATAGGAATCAATCGGGGGAAATATTTTGTCAGGATCGCCGGCTTTTTGGACGTGTTTGTCGCGTTGCAAAGCGAACTGGGAGGCGGGAGGAGACATTTGAGGGGGACTTTCTTTCATGAAGAAGGCATTCTCACAAAATGGAAGAAGAAATATTGCCGTCGTTGTTGACCTCCTTTTCCTCAACGAGAGCCTTATATGCGCCATTACTACTCCGCTCGACGCAGCTTAGTTGGGACTTACAGCAGCTTTTAATGGGCGGAAAACGACACATTTTAGCAGAATTTTAAGCTTATTTAAATAAAAAGGAAAAAATCGGACTTTTAAAGGAGAAGTGTTTTATCACATTACAATGCATTTTTTTAGAATAATACGTTGAATAAGCACATTTTATTTAAAAATATCACTTTTTTGTCGAACTTCTTTTATCAAATAAAAACATAAACTCATGTCAAGGAGGGGTTCTTTTTAGTCTTTTTTTTTTGTTTTAAATTCACACTACATTCAACATAGAGTTAGAGGGTTAATGCTTCTCAGCTGAACTTGCGAAAACTTTTTACTGACCAGAAAGTCAGTTCCTTTAAAAACATTTACGGGTTATTCTGAGTGACTTGACGTTTCTAAGGCATTTTGTAGCCGCTATAACAAGAACGCGGGCCAGTGAGTTTTATGTTTGGGGCCACCGTGCAGATTGCGTCAATAAATAAAGTCATTTTCACCGCATCAGCTCCGTCATTGCTGGGCGGTTTATTTTAGTGGACTGCGTTAAGTGGTCCTAACTCGGTTTGACAGCAGAGGGGGCGGTGGGGGGGCTTCCGTTGATGCTCTCTTTTTATAGTAGGGCGTTTCAGAGACTGGTGGAAGTGTAAACAAAATCACATTTCGATTTATTAATTAAAATGATCCAGTCTAATATTTAAAAACGCAATTTCAGGACAAATTTGGAGCACATTCTAGCATGCCTTTTCCTTTTTTCTTTTTTTTTTGATCGACAGATCAAATAGTTTGAATTCTTTTTTTGTTACTTTAATCCATTAATGAATCAAAAATAAGAATATTTAATAGCTGATATACGCATTGATTAATTTATTTTTTTTGTTTTCTAATGTGAAAGAAACAGGTGTATCTTTGGCATTTGAAGATATACAGGTAATTTGAACCTCAGTTATTTGTTTACTAGATACTGCCATCAAGATGGGGAAAGATCCAACTAAACCGAGGGGGAAGATGTCCTCCTATGCCTACTTTGTCCAAACATGCAGAGAGGAGCATAAGAAGAAACACCCTGATGCATCAGTGAACTTTGCGGAGTTCTCCAAGAAGTGCTCCGAGCGATGGAAGGTAGTGCAAGTTCATATTTCCTGCGCTTCTGTTTGCATTTAAATAAAACAACTTCAGGAAAACATAAGAAATTAGTTTGTTGCAGATGGGGGGGGGTCAGTCATGACGTAACTTCTCTGCTTTCAGACGATGTCCGCCAAGGAAAAGGGCAAATTTGAAGACCTGGCGAAGCAAGACAAGGCTCGCTATGAGAGGGAAATGTTGAGCTACGTGCCAGCTAGAGGTGGCAAGAAGAAGAAGTTCAAGGACCCCAATGCTCCCAAGAGACCCCCGTATGTACCGCTTGTTAAAATTTAACCTTTTAAACCTTTTTTTTTTTTTTTTTTTGTTTAAATAACCGGCTCAATCTCATGTCTTTTGTTTTCCCCTTGTCTTCCACAGATCTGCTTTCTTCATCTTTTGCTCAGAGTTCCGCCCTAAGGTGAAAGGCGAGAACCCCGGTCTCTCCATTGGAGATGTCGCCAAGAGGCTGGGTGAGATGTGGAACAGCACTTCTCCAGAGGACAAGCAGCCCTACGAGAAGAAGGCAGATAAACTGAAGGAGAAGTATAAGAAGGTAAACAAACAAAAGTCTCCTGTTTCAATGTGCTCTTCTAACTAAAGTCCCAGCCTGGTTTCATCGTGCGGATGCATTTTATTCCTTCACAGGACATCGCCGCTTACCGAAAAGTGGGCAGCGCACCGGCGAAGGCCCCCGCCAAGGCCGAGAAGGATGATGACGACGACGATGAGGACGACGAGGAGGAGGAAGAGGACGACGATGACGAGGATGATGATTAAAATGGCGGGCAATATATAGTGGTCATTTTCTTGTTTATAAAGCATTTAACCCCCTTGTCCACACTTCACTTGCTAAAAGAAAATACAATAGTAACAAAGGGGTAAAAAAAAAACAATAAAATAAATAAAACAAACAAAAAAATAATAATGCCAACATAAAGGCTGTGTATATCAGTTGTTTTTATGCTGTACAGTTTTTTTTTCCCTGTTTTGTATAGTTAACACTACACAAGTATGGTGTCTGTATCCTTCTGCCAGTCTTATTTTCTTCCCAGTGGTAGTTTTTTCTAGACCAATATCCTACCTGGTACAGTCTAAAGGGGTGGGCTTACAGTATTTCCCTTAGCTAGCAGTGCACAGCACGTAAAAACGTCGGAGTTAGATCTGAGTGTTTCCTTCAGTTTTATTTTCCTTTATGTGTGTTCTTATTTCAAACAACATGTTATCAGAATTGACGTATCACAGTTGTTTTACTGATCTTTATGTACCACTGTAATCCTAAAAAAAAATAAATAAAAAAAAGCCTTGTTTATTGTTGAACTTTAAATTGCTTCTGATGTCAATAAACTTTTTTTTTAATAAAATCGATTTGTAGTGTGTGTTCAAAAAAGTCTTATCCAGTATGACCTCCAGCACAAAGTTAAAATGAACTTGGGAGTGGCATGATATATAAAAAAATTATACTAAATATATATATATATAATATACATGTGTATATGCACATGTACATATATGTAATAGAGCAGATTATGCTGACTTATCAAGCCACATTAACCTTAAACCACCACCTCCTGTTAGATGGTATTTCTTTATAGTCATATAAACATGTTTCTTAACGGTACATTGAGTAGAACATATGAATTACTTTAAGTCACTGATCAGAAAAATTCCCTCGTGGTACAAACTGATGAAATATTTGAAAGATTATGAACCCCAGTCCAACCTAAGCAACCCCAAGCCTGAAGATGTTATTTATATGAGTCATAAAGCCACATTCCCTTTCATTAGGCTGTGGAACATATCCTTAAATCACTGGCTATAAAAGCAGGTATGAAACATCCTGCACTGAAATGTGATCGGTGAGAAACCAAAATTTACCCCAAAAAAGTTGAGTATGAAACAACAAAAGGCACAAAAGTGTAAAATGGCAAAGGGGTTATGGACACCCTCCACCCAAACTTCCCTCATCCGACTTGGCAAGTTGTATTGCAGAATTTAATGCATTTTAACTGACACTCAAAATTTGTAGCCATCCTTTTATTTTCAGTTCTGATGTCATACAGCAAAATTTAGGGTGCCTACAATCTCATATTCTGTGCAACAAAGAGAAAAGGCCGAGCACCGAGCCCTGATGTACCCCATAACTAACTCTGCAGAGGGATTTATCACCCCTGTTTGCCCCCATGCTCACATCACAGTGAGTTTGCTCTCTGTACTCCAGTGGATGTGCTGCTGACGTGTTTCCAGCAGCTGCAATTATGCTATTAAGAATCAAAATCCCCAGGGAATGTTTCTGATACCTTGTTGAGTCTGTGCTATAAAGAATGAAATGAATTCATTGTGCAGCTTTAAGTTTCAACATGGATACCAAACATTCTTTCCTGGTTTGGAAATATGAAGCTATAAGACTACTCTGTGCTGTAAATATTCGAGATCCAACGTGAATTTTTTATTCCCTGTGTATCTAAACTTTTACTATGAACTGCTAAATGAAGAACCAGCACCCCTCCCGACCCCACTGAGGGACAAGGGTGTTCAGAAAATGGATGGATGGATGGATGCTAAATGAAGAAAAATTGGTCTGACATCTTAAAGCCTGGGGAAGATTAAAAAGAGCTGGAAATGCATCTAACGACCTAGGCCTTGATAAACTGCTCCTATAAAGCATGACTCATCGCCACAACTGTCTGTATCCTGTGTTTTAGCTCACTGTGGTTGTATGCAAACATGCAGCTTCACCACTCTTCCCTGCCATGCTGGGTGGTTGGTTGAAGGGTAATCAAAGTTGCAGCGTACTTGCATGCCAGAAAGCATCGCCAGCTTGCTGTTTTATTTAGTTGCAGCCACTTCATCTCTCATCTGCTCTCCAGGTCCCATCCAGGATAAAAAAAAAATAAAAAAAAGCCATTTATATAAGAAGGATTACGTGCTTTGAAATCCCAGTGACATAAGTATATGACACGTCTGTGCAAGCCACTACAAACCAAACCCTGTAAGCCACGTAAACAAAAGAAAATATTTATATCCCTACATTTTATAAGTGTTTTACCTCTGGTGTAAAACACAAAGATGGTCTTCTGCTTTTTTCTCTCTCTCTCTCTCTCTCTCTCTCTCTCTCTCTCTCTCTCTCTCTCTCTAAGATCGTCCTTGGCCCTTCAACAGGGACTTGATAGCAAAGTAGGCAAAGGGACAAGCACACACATGGCAGCGGCTGACCTCAGACCTGCTTTGATAAAGCCTTGTGTGACCCTGAAGGTGACGCTTCTTTTTCCTGCCCTACCCTGATTACTTCTCTCATTTTTTTTAAATATAGAAACTAACCGACAAACACAGTCATGGAGAAATCCCCTAATTTCTGCCCAGTGGATTAGATTTGTTGGCTTCACAGTGTCTGTTATTGTTCCTCACAGCCAACTAGAGGCAAACACAGTTTCCAAGCATTTGGCAGCTGCAAGCTACCGTCACTGCTGGTTATCACCCCCCTTCTTTGTTAGCAATGTGTCTAAAGTTAGAGACTGAGAGAAGTCGATGTTGTTTACACTCCAAACAGTCCAACACATTGCACTTCCTATATTGTAGTAACTGATAACAACGTGTTACTGGAAAGAGAGGCGGGTTTAAATGGAACTACTACTGTGCCTTGTGCCTTTATGCAGCTGCTGGTCAGTTTCTGTGCGGACCCATTCAGGAGCAAAAGCGGCCAAACTGTGAACTGGGCAGGTTTAGCTACTGCTACCGCTTAATCTCAGCTGGTAGAGTCCACTGAATCCGACTCAGCGCAATAAGTGGTCTCATGGTGACACCTAATGGTCATATTCTGCAGTACAGCGCAACCTCTTATCCATCAGGATATTTTTGCCTAGAAAAATGGAAGTCTGCTAAAAAAAACTTTTTATATTTATATATATAAATATTTCCAGTTCTGGTCTGGAATTGCAGCAGTTTATAAAAGAAAACACTGGTTTGATACCACAAGATTTTCTTTAAATTTAAAGAAAACCTTTTTAGTTTCTTTATAAGTCATAGGAGAAATAGTGAGACGATGATTACTCTTAATAATATAAACATACAAGGAGTAAATGAAATTAAATTCTTCTTTGATCTTTGACCATAAAGTCTGATGTCTTAGTTTATTGCTGCATTCATCCTGATTTTATCCTGACTCGTCTGCCAGTTTCTTCTGCTGTAAAATATCCCCATACTCTGATGCTGCCACCACCATGCTTCACTGTAGGGATTGTATTGCCCTGTCTGGATTCCTCCAAACGCGACGCCTGGCGTTCACACCAAAGAGTTCAATCTTTGCCTCATCATAACAGAAAATCTCAAATGTCTACTGACAATTTCTTTGTTTTCATGCTCAGTTGTTGACCTCTGACCTGCACCATCACCTGTGGAACCTTTCCCAGGCATCTTGGTACTTTTCCAAGTTAAGTCCAATAAACTAAATTTACCCTAACTGGACTCAGTTCAAGCTGTTGAAACATCTGAAGTTTTATGATAAAGGTTGTGAATAATTACCCAGATTGGATTTCTTGGTTTTTCATTTTAAATAAATTTACAAAACACTCATTCCGTCTTGCCCCTACATTATCATAATGGGGAATTTGTGTGTAGAATTTTGAGGAAAGGGTTTAATTTAATGCAATTTGGAATAAGGCTGTAATATAAAAAATGTGAAAAACGGGAAATTTTCCAGAAGCATTGTATGTGAATGTGCTTAAAATAAACCTTAACTTTGTTTTTAATCTACTATTTTGAGTACAAAATTTTCTTTTCTGCTCATAACCTGAAATGAAAATGGTGTTTGTTTCGCTTTTGCAACTTATTTAAAATAAAAGCATTTGCTCTTATTCTCACTTTTATCAAGTTAAGCTTTTGCTTAACTTGCCACTTACGTTTGCAGAGCAAACATGCTCATTGCTTTCAATATACAACTGAATGCTGTGTTGAACTGAATGTTAAGAATGTTATTTATTCTTATGTGTTTGCACAGAGGCACGCTTGTGTAGATCCAAACATCATATTTACCAGTCAAAAATGAACAAACGTTAATGGTCAAATTGCTATAAATGCAGCTTTAAAACGAGGTTGAAATGCGTCACTTCCACTGAGTGGCGCTGTTGCAAAAGGAAACCCATATCTCATGCACAAATAGTGTATCTTCACTATTTATCCTGGAAACAGCAGAAGACTGCACACAGGTTCTCCAGCTTCACCTCTTTTTACGCCACAAGAGGTGAAATGTTTGCTGTGAAATCATGCATGTTTGTTGTTTGGGTTACCTCTCTTAAAATACGGTGCTAAAGTAAGGATGTCGTCTACATCTTTAGTAATTGAAAAAACTCTTGCACAGTTGTTTATATGATCTGAAATACATTCATTATTTAAAAATAGAACGTTTTACATGAAATGCTGATAAGAGATTAAAGAATAAACTCCCCTTTCTTTGATAAAGTAGCTGAATGTCAGTCAGATCGGATGGAAACCATCTAAATACATCAGTTTACAAGTCTTGTTCTAGATTCTGAACAATCTTTAAATGGACGATTCTGATGGATTGATATGGTTTTACCTGAATCCTTCCATTGATCCCCTTTCCAATCCTCTGATGGGATGTTTAGTGTTCTGAAGTTAACAGAGTTTTGTTTTTCCATAATTATTTAGGTGTAATTATTCAGAAAAGCATTCCCACAGTATGATGCTGATAGAGATTTTTGGTATTATCATTTTGTTATTACTTTAGTTCATATTCAGTCTAATGT